TTAATTTTTTATTCTAGAGTAAATATAACACCATTTTGCTGTGTAACTTTTCCTGAGTTTGGAGAATTGGGGAGGGATCTTAATTAAAATTCTAGTTTTGAGTTTGCATTGAGTTTGCTTTGATTTTATTCTCTTTGTCAGGCTTTTTTTTTAAATTTTTTTTATTCTTAACCAACCATTGTTCCCAARGAGAGGGTGGGAAATTCAGTCAAGGACTTATTTGACTTCAAAATGTTCTGAAGAAAGTAAAGATATGCAGAAAAATCATAATAATAAAAAATAAATCCCAGAGATTTAGTACCCTTTGATGATAAATCAGATATCAAAGTTTTATGTGYAGTCTTCAGACACACTTTTACACTTCAGCTACACTTTTACACTTGAGTAGCCACGTAATGAAARGTGCAAAGTTATCCAGACATGGGAAAGACAAACATGAATGACTGGTTTTATTTGACACTGARTCTTACTGGAATCCTTGCAGAATGTCTTAATAAAACAAGACAATAATTTTACCTTTGAATTCGTTATTTTTTTTAATTACTGAGTTGCTCTTGGAATGYTCTTTTAACTTTCAGAAATATGTCAAATTACACAGTTTGTTACACAAACAGCATCTTGCCAATCACCATGGAAAGCCATCAGCTGAGAGCACGGTCCTGCAAGAATTACTGTAAATCATATATTTCATTTCTGGTGTTTATTTCACTCTCCCACTCACAATATCTCTCAGGTTAAATTCTTAAACCTCTGTTGAGTAAAAAGCTATGTTTTATTTCAATAGTGACAAATCTTTTTATCAGCTGTGTTGAAACAAAACTCACCCATATCAGCTTTCCTTACTCATGACAGAACCTTCACAATCAAATTTAGCTCATCAAACCTGCTGGAATGTATCACAAATTATATTTCAATATTTCATCACCAACATCCTCTCAAGAGGCACAAAATGTAAGTGGAGGAGAATATTGTTGATTCAAAGGTGATGTTTGTTTTGTTCAGCACAATTTCACAGACACCGAGCCGTAAATAAGGGAGATAACATTTTTACGTGATTTTTGCTAATTTAAGTTTTGACATTTGCACAGCCTGCTACCTCATCTCASGCACAATTGTGCAGCTTCTCATTTTTTCTGACTGCATAATATTTGATTTGTACCATGATGTAATTTAACCACTGTTGTTTAAAGTGTAGACTTTCCCTCCCTAGTCATTGTTAACATTAAATGTATGAGACAAGATGGGCTTTTTTTTTTTCTCTTTTGTTGGTTTGAACTTATAATTCTCTGTGTTTTCTTCACTTTTTTTAAGCTCATTTTCTTTAGACATGCTCAGTATTCACTTTGTTTCTACCCTGTGGTATAATGACATTACAAAAACTCCACCAGTGACTGACAGGCCAAGGTGGTGGGTCAAACGAGCAATTAGTGCAGTTAATTTCCTGAACATGGAAATAAATGGCTGTTGACAGAGGAGAACATCTGCTTTATTAGTCCCAAACTGCAGGTCGGGTCACTTTATTCCAGACTGGAAAAGCCAAC